TCATGTGTTAGGCCACACATGATTAATGAAGATATAACAAAATAGTTTGCTTTGATGCCACCATAATTTGAATACTTGTAAATTGATCTAAAAGAAAACTAATCAATAACTTAAGCTATAGAAACAAAAATATGAGTTTTAAGTTGTAAGTAGCTTTTATGCTAAACATTGCCCTCTCAACTGGAAACATACAGTCAGACTTAGTGCCAACATTGAAGTTATTGCTTCTTGAAACTAACCTTAAAATGTATTATCCAACATTTTGGATCAGATCATCATCCAAAATATTCAAAATACTTGCAACCTGGATCAATAAGATTAATTATGTTACAATATATACATTTTTATACCAGTTGTGGCATTTAAAAGGCCCTTCCCACAACAAGATAATATACGCAATGATGGCAAAAAGGTCTCATTTAGCCAACAAGTTGTTTTTTAACACCCTACCATCCTTAATTCTTATAATAACCAAGTATAATAAAAGGAAATGTCCGTTGAAACTTATATACAAAGTAAAATGTCATTCACACACAAGCATGTGTGAAATAAAGGCAGAGATACCAACTTACAGAGATGGCAATGTAGCAAGCTCGAACATCAATTTCTCCATCATTATGCATCTTGAATAAAGTATTTGACGATTGAAAAGAAAAGATTGATTATATAAAGATGGTTTCCCAAACAATGTAACACCCTACCTTATAAACCCTCAATAAGAAGAATTAATCATTTTTAGCAGAATTTTTTTTTAAACCAATAATAATTTTTCCCTCATACATAACATTAATATATAAATTCTCAATAACCCATTCCAGCATTTCATCATTTTAAAAAGTACTAAAAGTAAACATTCATAATCATATAGATAAAATACTAGTACAGTCCTTCAAAATATTAAGGGCAACGTTGGGGATACTTCCTACAGAGCAGCTAACTACACAAAAAAGTAACTACTACCTAGTACCGTGTAGGTCTATATACTACAAAAGATTGTCGATAAAAGTTTGGATATGTTTTTCCCAATATATGTTGTTATCATTGTGGCTCTCAGCTAATGAGTATGAGTGTCATATTCATCGGGTGTAGAATCGGTGTCATCTCCCCTCTCTTCAAACAATGACCGGTCAGGTCCAACGAGTACCGCAAGTACAAAGGAAATAAAGAAAACATAAAGACAAGAGGGTGAACAACAATTCATACATCATTTTAAAATCAACATCATAAACATTCACAAGTCAATCAAATTCCAAATGGTTGATGTTAAGGATGCATGATCCTAATATGTTTTCTAAAATGTTTATGCATGCGGGCCCGAATCATTTCTCAAATCAGTACTGGGGTAGCCAGGAGTTGACACTACTAGGCATGGAAAATCCACCCACGGGATTGTTGAGACCCATGCTCAAATATAAACCCAGTAGCTCACTGACCATTGATATACGGTAAGAGCACAGTCAGGTACAGGAGAGTTTGTATAGTGGGATCCCTGATAACAGGTAGCGAGCCTGGGTCTTTTGGGGCCTCCAACCACTACCCTTCCTATCCTCAAGTCCTCCCTTAAGGCCTCCCTATCGTATTCTCAGAGTCCATAATTTCTTATTCCCCAGATTTCACAAATCACCATTTTCAAATGAGTAGTATATGAGTCCCTAAGTAGTTTTTCTTAGAAATTCACATTTTTCCAAAAATTTTGACAGAGTTTCCCTTGTAATACGGACTTCCCAAAAATTTTCAATCACCTGTTATAAGCAGAAAACTTCCAATACAGTTCAAAAAGGGTTCACAACCCATCATCCAATTCTTTCAATTTAATTTTCAATGAACTTTCTCATGAAAAACCACCATGTATATAAATGCTCACTCAGAGACAGTACATATCATAATAGAGTATCAAACATGTATTTTACACCATCATACATGTAAGCAATTCATTATCACTTTCACAACCTAGCATATAATGAAATCAAAATTATCAATCATAACAAATTTAGACAACTTCAACAAATAAGGTCAAATAAGTTTATGATGTAATCCTTACTATATAGCTCACCCCTTACCTGATACGTCCACACTTATTTCTTTCAAAGCTTGATGTTGTGTTTCAGCAAAATCTATATACGTAATAAAATACTAGTTAGAATCTTATATTTCTATGATTCTATCTCATGAGAATTTAAATTCATTTTGTATTGCTAATCCAATTCTAATAATATTTTAAGCTCACATTCAGCTTACAATTAACTTAGAAAATTATCTTATTTTGTATGCACTTAGAGTAGGAAAAATCCTAATAGCAAACATGGACAAGGTTCAATATTTCAAAATTTTCTAGAGTTATATAAGCTGTTTTGGCATGAGATTTAAGCCAAAATTTCAATAACTTAATTACCTACAATATTGATGAAGGAAATAAATTCAAATACCCTATATAATAGATGCAGTTTTCAGTGGTTCTTTCCAACTGGGCTCAATTACAATAACACTTTGAACATACCTTGGTAATTTGACTATAACTCATGCTACACATAAGCTATTGACATGAAATAAATTTCTACATTTTGGGAATATAATTTCCTACAACTATTATGAAGAAATCAAGTCCTAATTTCACACGTATCAATCCCAGTAATTCAAAAACCGAGGCAGTTGAAACAGGGCAACATCTTAACGTCACAGCTAGAACACTTGACAGTAAAATGGGTATAACTGGAGCTAAAAATATTCGTTTAATATGAAACTAGTTTCTAAATTTCGAAAACTTAAAGTGCTACAACTTTCATGAAGATACCAATTCCTAATTCTGTTTACACAAGTCCCAAAAATTCAATGAATAATACCTACGAATTAGGGTTCTTAAAGTTTTTAGCTTAACCACTTCTAATCCTCAATTTTAAACATTATTCTAGTATCCTAGGTGCAAAACCTACAATAACACTCTTCCTACTCTCATTCAAACTCAGTCAAGTGAGGATAAAAATAGAAAATGTACCATTTTGAAAAATAAAATGGTAGAAATGTAGAGGAAATTGAGATAAATCAACTTACCTATTGGAGCTTCTCAAGAAAATCAAGATTTTTCCGTCAAAGTCAAGCTTAAAGATAAGAAAAGTTCTGAGAGAAAGAGAGAAATGAGGAAACTACGATTGCAGATTAGAGGCCGCAAGGAGTAGAGAAATTTCGAACTACAATTCGCTCAACGGATTTTTGATGCGCCTAGCGGATTATATTACAAAAAATTTATCTATTTTCTCCTTTTTACTCTAGTCAAGATTCGAACCCACAACCCTTAAAATTCAAATATTACTTCAAATCATATCAACCATCGTATGTTTCTTGTTAACTCATACACATAATAAACTTTTAATGTACCCACACTCAATACATACAAGAAAACAATTTCTAAATGTGACAGTTAAAATTGTTAACTCCATACTCAACGTTTAAGTACATACATGAGTATTTTCTAACAATTATAAAATAATAGAAAAATTATAATTATTTCAATGCACATACAAGAATCGAACTCATGATCCTCAAATCTTATGATAAGGGTGTAACCAATTGATCCACTCCTCATCTTTACAATATTATTAAATTCTTAATTTAATTACTTCTCTTACTTTCAATTTCTACCTTAAAACATATAATTACTATCTGGCACCTAGCTACCCGCAAAACGGGTCAATTTTAAGTATTTTCTAAAAATTCTAGAAAATCACAAATAATCTAACAAACATAAAACTCTACAGTTACTTTACCCAATTCCTAATAATTTAATTATTAAAATTTTGACAAAGATTTTGTCAAAATTTAACAAACCAGAGGTATTGAGAATCAGGATGTTACAAACAACTTTATATGTGCCAACAAAATAGAAAAAAAGCACAAATAGAAATGTTTTCAACACAGCACGTGAGGTCAGACACTTCAGACAAGTGTATAATGCATATTGATTTTTGCACAACTAGCTCTATAAACACAAGAATATAAAATCTGTCACTAGTCAAAGGTGTGAATGGTTCATGTGCAAACAATATGCAAATAGATGGACTTGTAACCATTATCACAAAAAGTTATCAATTAGTTACAAAAAAGGATACATGATGTTAGTATAGTTTGTTATAGTTGATATACATAACAGAGATGTATAAGATATCAAACTTGAATCCACCATTTGGTTGTTTCATTTGCAGCAGAAACCCAAGCAATTTATCTCTGAGAATAATATGTCCAAAGTACCTAACCAATCAGTTCCACAAGAATGAAGATTAGATCTGACAAATAAGTAGTGGAACATAGTATGATAAAATTTGCTTTGGGCTCATAAACTGACCACTGAAACAATGAAAAAATGGAGAAAATTCACTAATAACATTCAAACTAATGCAGCTTGTTACCAGTCTCACATGTAGTATAACTCATTCTGAGGTTAACCATGACAAGAAGATTCCTTCTGCTGTTGTGGTTGGCATTGTTTACCATGACACATGCTTCCAACAGGATTAGAAATAATGCACTATATTTTTATAATAGACAATGTCCTAAATGACCTAAATAGTTTCCCAATTCCATCCTTACAAATTACCTAAATGTCAAATGTCAAAATAGATAATATCGTAGCAAAGTAACAAAGGAAGCACATTGGTGAAACCTGGTATAATGAGTTAGCAAACTTGCATTTAAATGTGATATGTATGCCACCAAATGGTTTTAAATTTATAGCCTGTATCAATTAATTTGAAAATATAGAAAGGAAGAATGAGTAGTCTATCTCCTTAAATTCAAAGTAAAGTAGAGAAAGAAGAATGGTTTACTTTGGTCGGTGTGTCCCTATGAGAGCAAAAGTTTAGCCGGGGTGAAATTTCAGTTAGCAAACTCCATGTCCACCCACTTTCTCAAAGCAAGTGTATCCAAACAAACAGAGTGGCTATGACCTTTACCACCTAACCAATTATCCTACAATGGCCAATCCTGAGGTTGTCGGGCAGGACCACTAGGTTGGGACCAGCACCGCATCGCCCAAGCACCCGCACGACGTTACAGTCACATTTGGAGTGGCAAACCTAAAGAGGGTTTTTAGGGCTTATAATGAGTCTTGTCTGCACCAGCCTAGGTGCGGTTGCTGCACACCCAAATTCCCATTTCCTTCACCCATTATGCTTTGGATGAAAAGGACTCAAGACAATAAGAATGAAAAGGAAAAACAAAGAGGACTTATATTGCTTGGGATGATAACGACATTTCCTCTACTGAAGAATCACAAGAAGATGAAGAAGTAAATATGTGTTTAATGACTGGATAAGATTTCTCAAGTAATAGTGTAAGTTATACCTCCTATAGTAATTCCTTAAACTATAGCTCTCTCCTAAATGCTTTCAATGAGATGCATGAAGAAGTTAAAAGACTGGCCAGAGAAAATAATCGATTAAAAGGGATGAACAATTAGCTGGAAAATAAAGTTAAGAATATTGAAGAAGAACTTCTTGAAACTAAAATAAATTTTGAAAATCTTGAAATAATATACAAGAATGTTGATATAAAAAAAACCATGTGATATCTATCCAGAATTACAAAAAAAAAAAACTTATCTAATCAAAATGCTTTCAAAGTTTTCACAAGGTAAAACTAATCCTGATGCATTACTTGGTTCGGAAAAATATGTGCTTGATCATGATGGAATTGGTTAACTCCTCTGATTGGTAAGAAAATAAAAGATTTCAAACACTTCTTCTCTTATAAAAATACAATTTCAACACCTTTCAATACATATTTCTATTGCATGAAAAAGGGTTATAGGAGTTATGTAGAATAGGAAAATGTGATGTTCCTAAGGGGGAAGAATGAAATGGATTCCAAAAATATCATTTCAAATTAATTGATCTTGTTGGACCTGTAATATTTAAAGGGTACCAAAACCAGTTTGAATATTTATTTTCAGGAACAACATCTTTGGTACCTAAATAGTGGGTGTTCAAGGCACATGACCGAAGATATTTCAAAGTTATTTAATACAAGACAACAAAAGGGGAAGATTCTTGAACATGGAGATATCAAATGTTCAGATCCTTGAGTCATAAACAATGTGTTATTTATAGATGGTTTAAAGCATAATTTAATTAGCATAAGTCAATTTTGTGACAAGGGTCAAAAGGTCATATTTGAACAAGAACATTACTTAATCCACAAAGAAGGTTCATATTAGGTGATGTTTAAAGGTAAACTCATAAACAATGTTTACATGTTAGATATTAACTCTGCAGAAGAGTGTTGCCTCATTACTATAGAGAATGACACTTGGTTATGGCATTGAAGATTGGTACACATTCATATGCATCACCTAAATCGACTGATTCATAAAGAACTAGTTATTGGTCTACCCAAAACTAAGTTTTGTAAAAGATAAAATATGTGATGCGGAAAACAAATAACACTTTCTCACAGAAAAATATTGTTTCTACATCAAGACCACTGGAATTGATGCACATGGATTTGTTTTAGGTGAGAATCTATATGCTTTGGTTGTTGTAGATGATTTTTCAATCTTTATCTAGACATTATTTTTGAAATAAAAATCTGATGCATTCTCATCTTTCAAAAAACTTGCCAAACTGATTCAAAATGAAAAGGAGTACTTTATAACTTGTATTCAAAGTGATCATGGGGGAAAATTTTCAAATGAACAGTTTGAAAGCTTTTGTGAAAAACATGGCATGAAACATAAATTTTTTGCTCCTAGAACTCCTCAGCAAAATAGTGTTGTTGAAAGGAAAAACATATTTCTTGAGGAGCTTGCTAGGACTATGTTGAATGAAAGAAATTTGCCAAAGTATTTATGGACTAATGCAATCAATACTTCTTATCATGTGATTAATCAGGTTTTAATAAGACCTCTTCTTAAAAAGACTCCCTATGAACTTTACAAAGGCAAAAAGTCAAACATTAACTATTTCAGGGTGTTTAGGTGCAAATTATTTGTATTAAACAATGGCAAGGAAAATCTTGAAAAATTTGATTCAAAATCGGATGAAGAGATATTCTTAGGATATTTTACAAACAACCATGTGTATAGAATCTATAATAAAAGGCTTAAGACTAAGAAGAATGTGTGCATGTTGTCTTTGATGAAAATAATTCAATTATTCAAAAAGATATTGCAGGTAATGAAGACGAAGAAATTTTAACTGATAAATTTTATCAGTTAAATTTACCAGAATTAGATTCAATGCAAAGGACTCCTGACATTTCAAAAGAAACTGAAGTTAGACCAGAAGAACAACTACCCAAGGAATGAAAGACTCTAAGAAATCTTTCACTGGATAACATCATTAGAAAAATTGACAAAGGAGTATTAACTAGGCATTCCTTAATATAAAATTTGCAATCATATGGAATTTGTATCTCAAATTGAACCTAAATTTGTCTCTGATGCATTAAAAGATGAATTCTAGATAAATGCTAAGCATGAAGAACTAAATCAATTTTACAAAAATAGTGTATAGGAACTTGTCTCTAAACCAATAGGCATCAATATTGTAGGAACTAAATGGGTTTGCAGAAACAAGTTAGATGAACATGGAGTGATAACCCAAAACAAAGCAAGGTTGGTAGCCAAAGGATATAATAAAAAAGAAGGAATAGATCTTGATGAAACATATGCACTTGTAGCTATATTAGAATTTGTTAGGTCATTGTTTTCTTATGCTTCTATGAAGAATTTCAGGTTGTACTAAATGGATGTCAAAAGTGCATTCCTAAATGGCTACCTAAATGAAGAGGTATATATCTCTCAACCACCAAGATTTGAAGATCACAAAAATCCAAAACATGTTTTCAAACTCAACAAGGCCTTATATGAATTAAAACAATCACCAAGGCAGTGGTATGAGAGGTTAAAGAATTTCATCATTTCTTAGAAATACGAAAGAGGTGAGTTAGATAAGACTCTATTTCTAAAGAATTTAAGAAATGACATTATTCTTGTTCAAGTTGATGCTGATGAAAAAGGGAAACTAGTTGATCAAACCAAGTATAGAGGGCTCATTTGTTCATTACTATACCTTTTAGCCAGCAAACCTGACGTAAGGTTCAGTGTTTTCACATGTGTTGGGTTCTAGTCAACACCCAAATAGTCTCACTTCACAACAACAAAAAGGATATTAAAGTACCCAAAAGGAACTACAAATGTTGGACTATGGTATTCAAGTGAGTCTCAATTAAAATTGATTGGTTATTCTGACTCAGAATTTATAGGATGCAAACTGGACAGAAAAAGCACAAGTGAAACATGTCATATGCTAGGCAACAATTTAATCTCAAGGCATAGTAAGAAGTAGACCTGTGTTTCTCTTTCAACAACAAAAGCAAAATATATTGCAGCTAGAAGTTGTTGTGCTCAATGGATGAAACAACAACTACAAGATTATGGTTTGATTCTTAACAAAATTCATCTCTTATGTGATAACACCAACACTATTAATCTAACCAAAAATCCCATTGAAAACTTCAGAACTAAACATATAGAAATAAAGACATCATTTCATAAGAGATCATGTTTCTAAAGGTGATTGTGACATATTTTTCATTGAAACAGAAAAACAGCTAACTGATATTTTCACGAAACCATTAGCTTGTGATCAATTTTATAGAACTAATAATTACTGACAAAATTAATTAATACATTTATCTTTTAATCGACTATATTTTCAAAAAATATGAGAATCTTTGATAATCACAAATTTTTAACCGATTAAACACATGAAATAATCGGTTAAAAACATTTAAAGTCATTTATGAATCATGAATTTTTGTTGTTTTAATTGATTATTCATCAAAATAATCGTTTAAAATCACTTAAAACTATTTCTAAGAGTAAAGTTTTCGAAATAATCGAATATTTTTTTAATTAACCAATTAAATTCATTAAAAGACCACTAGTGCAAAAAAGGCTTTTTATGTCGGTTAAAATGAGCTTTTTACGTCGGTTAAAGAGGCGACATAGATACAGGGGTCATAGAAAGTATGACTTTTTACGACGGTTGTGATGAACCGTCATAGAAAGTATGACTTTTTATGTCGGTTGTAATGAACCGACATAGAAAGTAATGGACTTTTTACAAAAATTGTCACTTGGTAGGATTTATTATCTGTTTAAGAGATTTTTGTCTAACAAGATTCGAACCCAGTACCTTAGAGTTGAAGACCGATACTCCAACCACTAAACTACTACGAATTTCGATACATAACTTACAAATAAATTATATTTATATACAAAATATATAAATACAAATATATTTATATATTTTGATATATAAATATTTATATACTTATATATTTAATTTTTTTTATTTAATATACACTTTCTATGTCGGTTAAATTTCAACCGACATAGAAAGTACTTTTATGTCGGTTAAAAATTTAACCGACATAAAAAGTACTTTCTATGTCGGTTAAAATTTAACCGACATAAAAAGTTCACTTTCTATGTTGGGTAAAACTTAACCGACATAGAAAGTTCACTTTCTATGTCGGGTAAATTATAACCGACATAGAAAGTTCACTTTCTATGTCGGGTAAATTTTACCCGACATAGAAAGTGACCTTTCCACTTACTATGTCGGTTAAAACTTACCCGACATAGAAAGTTTATGATTTTATTACAAAATTGCCACCGCGCCACATACTATGACGGGTGGATTACGACCGTGATAAAAACCCGTCATAGAAAGCTATTTTTCCACTAGTGGACATTTTTAGAAGTAACAACTCTCTCTGTTTTAATCGATGAATTAATCGATTAACAACTATTTGGAATCTTGACATTATTACATTAATCAATTGATAACTCATTTATAATAATTAATTTGGTTCTATTATACATTTAACAGATTACAAATCTTGCATATTCAATTTTTTTTTTGATAATCAGTACTACTTTAAATAATTACCAGGTAAAGTAATCGATTAGAATGTTCCTATAATCTCTTAATAATCATAGTGCAAGTGCTCATCTAAGAAGAACATAAAGGAATCAAAAATCAAGACATGTGACTGTGAATAAGACAAAATTGACTAGGTCAAAAGCAAAAACATTTTAGCTTAATAAAGAGCTCTGATACCCAGTGCATAGAAATAGTCTCAATGTTGCTGGTCAAGGGAACCATTGCAAAAGGAAAAGGAAAGGGTAACAGGAATCTGAAAAAATGGAACATTAACTAGGTCAAATTCATTTAACTCATTCTTATCTAACTTCTGCAATTCTTTAAATAAGTATTCTATACTG